ATTATCGAGGATAAAAGTTTATGAAAATGACTGTACATTTGGAAGACACACACAAAAAAATATATTTCACCTTATATAGAACGGTTTAATTAATGGTTTAATTAATGTTTTCAGTTTTCTTTGTTCAGGTAATTTATTGCAAGTACCTGATTGAAATAATACAGTCTCGTTTATTTATTTTTTAATATCATTTTTAGAATGTAATAGTGCAACATACAGCAATCGTTTTCACATTAGAGAAAAAAGTCCTGACATTACAGTTGAAAAGGTTGCTGAATCGTCATTATTTTCTTCAAGATTATTTATTAAATCTCCTAGCAAACATCCTAAGATAGTATCTACTCAGAAATATCAAGAAGAGAATGTTTTGAATTTAGAAGAAGATATAGATTTTTCAAATTTCTATCAAAGTAATACAGTTCAATCTAGTTTGTCATCTGTTTGTCAACATGATTCATTTTTGGAACCAGTTCAAAAAACTATTCCAAGAGGCATTGGTGGTACTTTTTTTTATGACGAACCACCAGCTAGCTTTAAACCGATTGATGAAAGGCGTATGTTAATAATTATTAACCTTTTATTCTTTGAAAGTTGTCACAGTATACACAATTTTTAATAAATCAACTGATGATTCTATTGAATGCGTATAAAATTTGTACTTAAAATAGTTCTAATCTATCTGTACTAGGTTTTCAATATGCAATATTTATGGAGTTAGCAAGTATAAAATCTGAAATACAAAAATCTTTATGTGCAGTGGAAAAGCTGGGAAGAAGAACTGAGCCTGAAGATTCCTTATTTTATATTTATAAATCAAATGATATAAGAGAGTTTGATGAAAGAGAAATATTTTTAGGTAATAAAGAAAAGTTTCATTTGTTGGTATGTTTTTTGTTTATATTATTATATAGTGTTATTCTAAATAAATCTGATTGAATGATATTGTTAATTTTATGTCAATTTAAAAATTAGCATTGATAATGATATTCTATAAATTTTGTAGGTCCGTCAACTTAAACAAATAGGTGGTAGTTCAATTTCAGCCTCAGTTAATAAAGTTTTAGATGAAACAATGTCTAAAAATGTTCAATCGTTATTTAACAAAGCAGGAAGACATGGCAAAAGATCATTTAGAAAAACATTATTGTATAAAGCAATTATTGGTAATTTTTAAATATTGATATAAAATGTTTTTTGTGGAAGTGTGTTTATGTAATCCTCTTTGTATGTGCTTTAAAATGCATGAAAGATTTCTATGGTATTTTATATTTTAGAAGCATTAGTGTCACATTCAACAAAATTTGATTTGGTCGATAAGTTAATAGGCGACCATTTGAAAAGAGCTCCAGATCGAATTGAATAACAAATAATTTATTTAGTATTTGTACGCTCGCATTATAAATGAATACAAAATAAATAAAAAAAACTTTAAAAGTCTAAGTGATGCATCTAAATTACTATTTATTAACTCTCTATTATGCACTGTTGCCATTAGGCTACAAAGCAAAATTTTTCTTATTTCAGCATTACTAGCTTTACTTTTGATTTTAAAGAGTGATTTCCCTTGTCTAGTTTAATGTTTTAAAAACAATACAGTTTTTTTAAATCAGCACATGTTCAGCCAACTACAGCAGTTTTTTCCAAAAAAAATGGCATTATAGAGGGTTAAGAACTTTTTATTTGTATAACAAATGTTATTTACTTAACTTATACATATAAATTTTTTTCTTTACAAAAAAAGTATACTATATATATATATGTATATATATATATATATATATATATATATATATATATATATATATATATATATATATATATATATATATATATATATATATATTGTATATATATATTGTATATATATATTGTATATATATATATATATATATATATATATATATTGTGTATATATATATATATATATATATATATATATATATATATATATATATATATATATATATATATATATATATTGTATATATATTGTGTGTATATATATATATATATATATATATATATATATATATATATATATATATATATATATATATATATATATATATATATATATATATATATATATTGTATATATTTATTGTATATAATTTTTTTTTTTTAAGTATTTAAAGTATTTAATTTAATTTTTTTTTTTTTTAATTTACTAAAAGAGTAAAACTAATATTCTTAAGTATGAGTAACAAAAAAAAATGAAAACAAGGTATGTTTGAGTTGAAAATATTTTGTTAAATAAATCTTTTGAAGCTATTTCTATCTAGATTATTTCTGCTCCAGCTACCAATCACTCTACTTTATTTATACAAGTAGAATTTCTACTAAAAATAACTTGTTCTCCTCAGGATCTTTATTGGGTAATTTGTACATAATAATATTAAGTAATATTTTTTTTTCAGCTTAAACGGAATATTTTATTTAGTTGTAACAATCATTGATTATAAAAAATTTTGGAAAATGGCTGCAAATTAGGTAAGTACAAAAATATTGATAAAGAATTATTAGAAACTTATTAAGAATGGTGAGAAGATATATTGACGAAACTATATCTTGACTAAAGTAAAGGAGAGATGTGTAATGCATGCATAAAGTTTGATTCAAAACTTTAGAGTCTTCGAGTTTGAAATTTCAAGAAACAGGTTTTTTTTATATTTAGTTCACATATATGCAAACCTTTTGAAAAGTTTTTTAAATTGGTGTTGTATCTTGTTATAAGTTAAATACTTCAATGTAAGTCTATATAGAAGATTAAAGGGTGCAGTTATTTGTGCTTGTTTTTTAGCATTAATTTTTAAATGAAACAGTACAACATCACAATTCTTTGCAAGAGAAGCAAGTCTTGATATTAAAGTGCAAAAGATTGCGGAATGTAAGTTTTTCAAAGAGTGTTATCTGGTTTAATTAAAAGTTTAGTTTAGAATAAAACCAGATAAATATTTTTCATCAAGTTAGAAAATATGTTAGTATTTCCAACACGTTAATAAATAATATATGGAACTTTTTTTCATCAAGTTAAAAAAGACTTACCAAGAAGCATTACTGGAATTTATTGTTATGATGAACTGTCATCAAGTTTTAAGCCTATGAGTAGAACATGTATGTAAATAAATGTTGACTTTTTATTTTCGAAAAGATGTACTAGTTGGAATCCAAGTTGGAATATGTACTAGATTTTTATAGTATTTTGCTTTTTAGAAACATTAGTGTCGCATGCATCAAAGTTCGATTTGGTCGATAAGTAGAAGATCATTTGAAGAGAGCTCTTAATAGAGTAGCATAACAATTATTTTATTACATTTTTGTATGTTTATATTTTAAATGTTTGATTTTTTATTTTTGTATGCTTATATTATAAATAAACAGAAAATTAAACTTTTAGAAATTTATTAAATTATCCAGACCTAGGCTGTTGCACCTAAATTTTTATTTGTAGAAGATTTTTTTTTGTATAACATAAGTTATTTACTTAAATAACTTAAACATAAAAAAGATTTTTAGGGCAATTGTTGAAAACGTCAAATCGCTTCATTTAGACATAAAAAAACGTTTTCGTGAGGCCCTTAAAAAACGTTCAAAAAACGTTTTTAGAAAAACTTCCGGTCACCGCTTCATATGGACGTTTAAAAAACCAATAAAAAACGTTTTACCGGGACCATTGAAAAACGTTCATAAAACGTTTTTAGGAAAACGTCCGGTCACCGTTTCATATGGACCTTTAAAAAACCATTAAAAAACGTTTTTACGGGACCATTAAAAAACGTTTGCAAAACGTTCTTGTGCCCACTGGGTAATGATTTGAGGAGGTCGGATCTCCGACTGACCCTTCGTTGGCTGATGAGGCGACCCTCTCTCGAAATTTTCATCTTAATTTTCAAGATCCTGCCAAAACCATTTCAAATAAAATACGACTTTAAAAGTTTTATAAGTTAAAAAAAGATACGTAACTTAAAAACTCTTTGTAAAAAAAGCAACTTCACTATTAAAACTAACGCAAACATAACCTTAATAGCAAACTTTAATTGCAATGCATCGCGCTTTTCTAATTTTATGCTGCTAATTAATTTTCAGCAAACTTAAAAAGCGTATATATTGTTAATTTAAATTCCAAATATTGGTGATTTAAAAAATTTTAAAAAACGTTTATATTGTAAATTTAAATTCCAAGTATTGGTTGTTTAAAAACAAAGAATTATTTATTTCAATTAAAATCATACCATTTTTATAAAATAGACTGATGGAACAGACAAAGTGAGGTTAATTAGCAATAACACTTGTCGCTGATAGGTTAACGATTTGAGGAGGTCAGTTTTTTGACTGGCCCTTCGCTAGATGATTCAGTGACCCTTCTTCGTTGTTCTCCATCTCACAAGTCTAGTCTCTTGATATTCTTGAAATTTAACGGTGATCCTGCATCGTTGAGGTATCAGCAAAGAAGCCTGGTTGCCAATAAGTTAACGATTTGAGGAGGTCGGTTCTCCGACTGACCCTTCGTTGGCTGATGTGGCGACCCTCTCGATGTTTTTATCTTAACTTTCAAGATCCAGCGAAAACAATGAGCAGCCCAAACACATAAATGTTTAACACCAGCTGCACATTCAAATAAACTAAAAGAATTTTTTAAAAATTTCAAATGAAAAATGACGTAAAAAGTTAAAAAAGAAACCTAACTTAAAAATTTTTTTTGTAAAAAAGCAACTTTATTATTAACAATAACGCAAGTAAAACCTAAAGTATAATTATTTTGTTAAATCCATATATGAAAAAATTTGTTAGCAAATATGCTTCGCGCAGTTTTAACCTTTATCGCCTAAAAAACTTTTATGCTGCTAACTGATTTTCAAAAAATCTAAAAAGCGTATATATTGTTAATGTAAATTCCAAGTATTGGTTATTTAAGAACAAAGAATTACTTATTTATATTAATATCATTCTATTTTTATAAAAAAGAATGATGGAACAGACAGAGTAGGGTTGATCGGCAATAACAATTGTCGCTGATAGGTTAACGATTTGAGGAGGTCGGATTTCTGACTGGCCCTTCGCTAGCTGATTCATTGACCCTTCTTCGTTGCCCTCCACCTCAAAAGTCTTGTTTCATGATATTCTTGAGATATACCGACGGTCCTGCATGGTTGGGGTATCTGCAAAGAGACCTAGTTGCCAATAAGTTAACGATTTGAGGAGGTCGGTTCTCCGACTGACCCTTCGTTGGCTGATGTGGCGACCCTCTCGATGTTTTTATCTTAACTTTTAGAATCCAGCTAAAACAATGAGCAGCCCAAACACGTAAATATTCAACACCAGCTACACTTCCAAATAAACTACAAGATTTTTTAAAAAAATTTCAAATGTACAACGATTTAAAATGTTTATAAGTTTAAAATGAAAAATGACTTGTAAGTTTATAGGTTATAAAAGAAACATAACTTAAAAGTTCTTTGTAAAGAAGCAACTTTATTATTAAAACTAACGCAAGTATAACCTAAAGTATAATTATTTTGTTAAATCCATATATGAAAAAATTTGTTAGCAAATATGCTTCGCGCAGTTTTAACCTTTATCGCCTAAAAAACTTTTATGCTGCTAACTGATTTTCAAAAAATCTAAAAAGTGTATATATTGTTAATGTAAATTCCAAGTATTGGTTATTTAAGAACAAAGAATTACTTATTTATATTAATATCATTCTATTTTTATAAAAAAGAATGATGGAACAGAGAGAGTAGGGTTGATCGGCAATAACAATTGTCGCTGACAGGCTAACGATTTGAGGAGGTCGGATTTCTAACTGGCCCTTCGCTGGCTGATTCAGTGACCCTTCTTCGTTGCCCTCCACCTCAAAAGTCTTGTTTCATGATATTCTTGAGATATAACGACGGTCCTGCATGGTTGGGGTATCTGCAAAGAGACCTAGTTGCCAATAAGTTAACGATTTTAGGAGGTCGGTTCTCCGACTGACCCTTCGTTGGCTGATGTGGCGACCCTCTCTCGATGTTTTTATCCTAACTTATAAAATCCAGCCAAAACAATGAGCAGCCCAAACACATAAATATTTAACACCAGCTACACTTTTAAAATCCAGCCAAAACAATGAGCAGCCCAAACACATAAATATTTAACACCAGCTACACTTTCAAATAAACTATAAGAATTTTTAAAAAAAATTTAGACGAAAAATGACTTAAAAAGTTTATAAGTTAAAAAAGATATATCACTTAAAAACTCTTTGTAAAAAAGCAACTTCACTATTAAAATTAATGCAAATATAAACTCAATAACAAAATTTAATTGCAAATATGCTTCGCGCATTTCTAACTTTTATCGCTTAAAAATATTTTTATGCTGCTAACTAATTTTTAACAAGTTTAGAAATAGTATATGTTGTTAATTTAAAAAGTGTTTATATTGTTAATATAAATTCCAAATATTGGTTATTTAAAAACAAAGAATTATCTTTTTCATTTAATATTATTCTATTTTTATAAAAAAGACTGATTGAGCAGACAAAGTGAGGTTGATCACCAATAACACTTGTCGCTTGTAGGTTAGCGATTTGAGGAGGTCGGATTTCTGACTGGCCCTTCGCTAGCTGATTCAGTAACCCTTCTTCGTTGCTCTCTATCTCACAGGTCTAGTTTCTTGATATTCTTGAAATTTAACGGTGATCCTGCATCGTTGAGGTATCAGCAAAGAAGCCTAGTTGCCAATAAGTTAACGATTTGAGGAGGTCGGTTCTCCGACTGACCCTTCGTTGGCTGATGTGGCGACCCTCTCTCGATGTTTTTATCTTAACTTTCAAGATCCAGCCAAAACAATGAGAAGCCCAAACACGTAAATATTCAACACCAGCTACACTTCCAAATAAACTACAAGATTTTTTAAAAAAATTTGAAAAGCTTTTATATCGTTAATTTAAATTCCAAGTATTGGTTGTTTAAAAACAAAGAATTATTTATTTTAATTGATAATATTCTATTTTTATAAAAAAGACTGATGAAAAAGACTGATGGAATAGACAGAGTAAGGCTAATCAGCGATGACACTTAGCGCTGATAGGTTAACGATTTGAGGAGGATTGAGTTTTGATAATAAAACTTAAAAAAAGTGACTTACGCGTCTTTAAACAAAATATTACTTTGGTTTTGGCGCCCATATTTGGTTTATTTATTAGATTTTGTATTATTTTTTATAATTTTAGACTTAAAAATACTTTTTCTTTACCTTTAACAATAACTACTACACTGAGGATAGCCCATATAAATTCCTAATAGTCTAACCCGAGTGACTTAACCTAAGAAAAATGATTGCTCGCGTAACCTTTCTTTCATTACTTACCTTCCTTTTAAGAACCATCACGATTTAACATCAAAAAGGACATTGATGAGAAGGGTTCAAAGACGACAAAATATTCAAGAGAGAATTGGAGCTAAGCGGAACTTAGAGGCATCTATAGATAGTGAGGGAACATTAGAAAAGGAGCAGAAAGTGGTCGAAGAACCACCAGTAAAAAAAAAAATAAAGAAGATACAGAGGAAGTGGAAAATACATTAAGGTTCTTGGCTGATAATTTAGACGTTTTCACGAACAATATATTTGTAAAGTAATGTACATTCATATGATAAATATATATTTAAAAACATTAGTAGCATAATTCCGAATCACCACCTATTGTAATACCAATGATTTCTTACCCCTATAACCCTTATCCCAACCGGAACACGTGACTTTATCCAGAATCTACGTGTAACCCAAACCCTAACTATCAATAATTATCACAACAATTATCATAAATATATTAAACATCTAAATCCCCCTTAGAACAACTGCTCTAAATATACCCACTAAGACATTGAAATACAGAGACAGCCAATTTCAATACTTGTCTCTAAAATAAAACCGATGACAATAACAAAAAATAATTCCCGCGGAAAACGATAGAAAAACTCACCTTGACAATTACCTAACTCTTTTCGTGGAGACTAAAGAAGCTCTGACACGTAAATAGAACAATAGACCATTGAAAACTTACAACGATAGAACAATGGAATTTCTAAAAACAGAAGTTTTACATTTTTATGTGCACACGTTTCGTTCGTATCAGATATCTGCTAACAAGCGAAGAAAAAGCAACTTTGGCGTTCAGAAATATATTTTTTTCACAATTATTTAATAAAAAAATCCACATTAACGACAACACGAACGATGGCATCGAATAATTACATAAATATATACCCTACTACAACACCCAGCAACACGGTAAGGAAAACATTCCCTTTATCACATTTACGTACTTAATAAGTCATACCATCACCACCCCACTATAATTTAGCGTTTACTTGAGCATCACACGCCACTACAAT